GGTTTGCATGGACCGATGCTATCTGGGGGGTTGCCTGCCGCAATGTGGTTCGGTGGGTTTGCATGGAACGATGCGATTTGAGGGGTTGCCCGGCGCAATGTGGTTCGGGGGGTTTGCATGGGCCGATGCTATTTGGGGGATTAACTGGCATAATTTGTTTCGGGGGTTTGCATGGACCGATGCTATTTGGGGGGATATCTGACATAATGTGTTTCGGGGGGTTTGCCTGGAACGATGCTATCTGGGGGGTGACCTGACATAATGTGGTTCGGTGGGTTTGCATGGAACGATGCGATTTGAGGGGTTACCCGGCGCAATGTGGTTCGGGGGGTTTGCATGGACCGATGCTATTTGAGGGGTTAACTGGCATAATTTGTTTCGGGGGCTTGCATGGACCGATGCTATTTGGGGGGATATCTGGCATAATTTGTTTCGGGGGGTTTGCCTGGACCTATGCTATCTGGGGGGTGACCTGACATAATGTGGTTCGGTGGGTTTGCATGGAACGATGCGATTTGAGGGGTTACCCGGCGCAATGTGGTTCGGGGGGTTTGCATGGACCGATGCTATTTGAGGGGTTATCTGGCATAATTTGTTTCGAGGGTTTGCCTGGACCTATACTAATTGGGGGGTGACCTGACATAATGTGGTTCGGTGGGTTTGCATGGAACGATGCGATTTGAGGGGTTACCCGGCGCAATGTGGTTCGGGGGGTTTGCATGGACCGTTGCTATTTGGGGTGTGACCTGATGCGATTCGGGGTTGGAATGGACCGATTTTATTTTAGCGGTTGCCTGGCGTGAAGCTTTGCACGAGGCTGCGACGTACGTGAGGCGCCTTAGCACGGTATCGTGCACGGTAAGTCTGGGCCGCAAGCTTGGGGGGTAAACTGCCGTTCGCGCTCAAATCCAACCGTAAGTCGTTGGAATTGGCATATTTAACCGTTTTATCTGTTCTTATGCAGGGTCTCCACTTCCGCAGGCTTTCTGTTTGAAAGTTGCACGAGTGCGCGGCCTCAGCTCTAACGAGGCTGCGACGTACGTGAGGCGCCTTAGCACGGTATCGTGCACGGTAAGTCTGGGCCGCAAGCTTGGGGGGTAAACTGCCGTTCGCGCTCAAATCCAACCGTTAGTCGTTGGAATTGGCATATTTAACCGTTTTATCTGTTCTTATGCAGGGTCTCCACTTCCGCAGGCTTTCTGTTTGAAAGTTGCACGAGTGCGCGGCCTCAGCTCTAACGGGGCTGCGACGTACGTGAGGCGCCTTAGCACGGTATCGTGCACGGTAAGTCTGGGCCGCAAGCTTGGGGGGTAAACTGCCGTTCGCGCTCAAATCCAACCGTTAGTCGTTGGAATTGGCATATTTAACCGTTTTATCTGTTCTTATGCAGGGTCTCCACTTCCGCAGGCTTTCTGTTTGAAAGTTGCACGAGTGCGCGGCCTCAGCTCTAACGAGGCTGCGACGTACGTGAGGCGCCTTAGCACGGTATCGTGCACGGTAAGTCTGGGCCGCAAGCTTGGGGGGTAAACTGCCGTTCGCGCTCAAATCCAACCGTTAGTCGTTGGAATTGGCATATTTAACCGTTTTATCTGTTCTTATGCAGGGTCTCCACTTCCGCAGGCTTTCTGTTTGAAAGTTGCACGAGTGCGCGGCCTCAGCTCTAACGAGGCTGCGACGTACGTGAGGCGCCTTAGCACGGTATCGTGCACGGTAAGTCTGGGCCGCAAGCTTGGGGGGTAAACTGCCGTTCGCGCTCAAATCCAACCGTTAGTCGTTGGAATTGGCATATTTAACCGTTTTATCTGTTCTTATGCAGGGTCTCCACTTCCGCAGGCTTTCTGTTTGAAAGTTGCACGAGTGCGCGGCCTCAGCTCTAACGAGGCTGCGACGTACGTGAGGCGCCTTAGCACGGTATCGTGCACGGTAAGTCTGGGCCGCAAGCTTGGGGGGTAAACTGCCGTTCGCGCTCAAATCCAACCGTTAGTCGTTGGAATTGGCATATTTAACCGTTTTATCTATTCTTATGCAGGGTCTCCAGTCCGCATTGTGGAGCCCGCGCCAATAGCCAAGCTGTGTTTGTCAGATGTTGGTCAGTGGCACAAGAGGAGGCTTCATTATGGCAGGCTTGCCAACTGTTTGCTTTTGCCATGTATTTGGGTTTTGTGTTTCACATGGCTGTTGGCCATTTGAACGATACCCGCTTATTGGTCGGATAGGTTCATGACTTGATTGAGGAGGCGGGGACTTCCTGCAGAGCATTTGCACAATGGGTCATATCGCGGGTAGGGAGGACTTTCGTTTGTGTGTGTGTGAGCAGCGCCTCGGCAAGTGGCAAGTTTGCTTGGCTTATGCAGACATTGTCATTAGTGCAACTCATGCATCAGGATGCTGCTGTCTTTGCTGCTCTAATTGCCGAGCCTCGTCAATCTTGTAACACAAGGACGAATTTCTGCACTCATCCCTTCGACTCGCACACTTTGCACTTCCGGATTCGAGCAGCTTCAGTGTTTGACTGGTCCGCGCTTCACTTGGGATCCGTTTGTCCCTTCTCTCTGATCAGCTATGTGCCCCAAATTTAGTTTTACTCTGCACAGCTTTCTGCCTACCAGCTGTGCCGAACATTACGTTTTCATTCATCCGCCTCCTGCTCGTGCTAGTGAGAGTATCTGTTGCACTGCACTTGAACTGCATCTTGAGCATCGCACCGCATTCAACATCAGGTGGTTTTCATCATGGTGTTCGATGTTGCTGCCGCAATAGGGAAGCGACGCTCTGCTGGGGTAACTGGTCCTGTCGAGTTCTGGTACGACCCTCCGGTATCTGCTCCTGATGCTGACATCGCTCCCTCCTTCGCCTTTCTCCGTTTCTAAGGGTTTGACTATGAGGTTTCGATGTAAAGAGTGCCAGTCCGATGCCTCCATTCTCATCATTAGTAAATCGTTTTAGTGTGGTTACATGGTGGATCATCATCGTCCTCCCTCGTCGATTGAGCATGAAGCGCCTTAAAGCAACATGCCGGGCCTCCCAGACTTCCGAGCGGAACCTGGCTAGTGCGCCAGGGGTGGGGCCTCGGTCATAATCATGCGCTTGAAACGCGAGGTCACGTTCGTACTTTGCCCGTGTGCTATTGTACGCCGGGCATTCCACAAAAACATGCATTTCGTCTTCAACCGCCCCGCAGTCGCGAAGCCTGCAGGCGCGCACTGTTTACCTCTAATTCCCAACAGCCTAACCAGAAACGCAGCTGGATGCAAACGTTGGGCGATTTCAGCCTGGGCCAGCCACTTATGCCGCGCGCCCCTAAGTGGGGCCGCCCCTATCCAGTTCAGATAGCGACACGCCTTGACACCGGTACTTCCACTTTGGAAGGTGCATGGATTACCTAGGGTACCCGGGCACTCCCACCGGGCGTCTAGACGCATAGCGAACTCTTCAAGTATGCTGCTTCCCACTGGCAACCTAACGGTAGCGTAATGCGCTATGAGGTCGTCACCACGCAGACCGACGAAGAGGCCGCCACTACTTGTACGGCATAATGTCGTCCTCGAGGCTGTCTCAACAGATGGTGAGTGTACGGATCGCTGCGGGCCTGACGGAGCCGACGGGGGTAAACGCTCCGCCGCCCTGGAAAGGGCGGCAGCGGCGGCGGGAGTTGTCAGCAGCGGCGGGGGATGCGGTGTTGCCGTGCCGTGTTGGCGGCATTCCTTTGCTCCCCCGTCGCCCTCGCGATCCCCCTGGAAAGCCCACGGCCATGCTGACGGTCTCCCAGGTCGGGGGGACTCTGACGACGCCACCGTCGCCGCTGTCGCTGCCGACGGCGACGGGATCAGCGACGGGATCGGCGACGATGTCGTACTCACGGCGACCATTGTGGCGCGAAATGGCGATTCCGGGTCCCCGGTTGAGGTGGTGGAGATGTACGGCAGCGCCGCCGAACGATTGATGTCAGCGGCGGATATGGGTGTTCACACGCCGGTGAAGTTATCGTACTGCAAATGTACGGCTGGTGGCGCCGTTGCTGTTGTGTTGTCGGTGTCTGACCCAGCCCCGGCAGCAACCTGCTGTGTGAATGTTAGGATTTTAGGGTTTTAGGGACTTGTGGCTTTAAGGTTTTAGGGTTTTAGGGTTAAGAGTGAGGAAAGAAACGTCCTGAAGGAGAATGAATTTCACTAAGGCTGTGCAAGATGAACTTCCATGTCGTAATCAACGATTCTAACTGCCATTACTATCACGTGGCCGTTACCCCTAACGGCTCTTACCACAACGGCCATGGACGAGCGCCTCCGGGAACACAAGGACCTAGGTTCGCCGAACGTGAACTCGGGTCTGGGTAACGCAGCCTCCGCGCCAGCAGCCGCCGCCGCAGCAGCTCGTCCCATGCGCCTATCTGCCGTACGGCCGACGGGAGCGCCGCTGTTTACTTCCATGGTTTCGGCGCCACCCTCGATGCCGGCGGCGGCAGCGGCGGGTGCCGCCATCGGGAAACGATCCCGTATGGGAAAACCCGGAATCCCACCCCGCTGGCGCTGTGCGTAAGGCCCACGACAGCGTCCTATTACCCAGAGTGCCACTGCCAACGCCACCGCCGCCGTCGCTGCCGCCTGCACTGACACCGCTACTGCCGCCGACGACAATGGCGCTTCTTGCACCACCTCCCCTGAGCCCCATCTCTCGACCGTACGGCACATAAACAGGGGCGCAGACATCGTACCCGCTGCCGGTG